AAGAAGGAGAAGAAGGAGAAAGCCTGGACACACCCAGATTGCTCCATCTTGCCCCCTGAACCCCCATTCTAAAAACCCCAAAAATCTATTCTTTCACCCCTTGATAAATTCACTATCATTCCACTTAAACTTTTGTGGCTTATAATTCTTCATATAAGGTTGGTAATTGGTTTTTTTAAGGCCGAAATCAAAGGCACAGGGGTCTTGGGCTCTGTGCCAAGGTGTCTTGGTCTCTCGGGCAGGGCCTTGAGTCCTCTAGGGCAGCCAGAGGAATTTCCTGGGTTCCAACAAGGGGCCACCAACCTCAGCACCTCAAGGTGCCATGGGGTGATCTTCTCCCCAAAAGATTTCCAGCCTGGCCTCAGAATTGTGGAATGGTTTGGGTTGGATGGGAGTTAAGGATCACCTTGTTCCAACCCCACGGACACCTCTCGCTGTCCCAGGGTGCTCCAAGCCCTGTCCAACCTGGCCTTGGATGCTCCCAGGGATGGAGCAGCCATAGATTCTCCCAAAAAACAGCTGCTCCAAAGATTTAAGATCCAAAGGGCCCAAGTGACCTGAGGAAGGATCACAACACAAAAATGGGAGAGGGAAAAATGGAGCATGGATCCCAAAAAAGAGCTGCTCCAAAGATTACCATGTGACCTGAGGAAGGATCACATCACAAAGCTGGGAGAGGGAAAATTGGAATGTGGAGGGAGATGGATTCTTCTGGGTGATTTCCCACCCACCAGGATGGGCGAGGGAAATCTGGGCAGAGCTTATGTCTGTTGGGACACTTGGACACTTCCAGGGGCAGCCACAGCCTGGTCACATTTAACTGGAAGGTCACTCCTTGGACAGCTGCCACGAGGAGCTTCACATGGAACCTCTGAGGATCAGATAAAAAACCCCAGGAGATGGCTCCTGGCATGCCATGGCCCTGCTGCAGGTAAGAACCTGCTGAGGGGCTCCTGTGCCCAGCAAAGGAGGCACCAGGAGAAGTGGAAAGGTCAGTGGATGCAGCTGGCCAAGGTTTCTGCTGAGAGCAGGGAGGTTCAGGTTGGATATCAGGAAAAATTTCTTTCCTGGAAGAGGGGCCAAGGGTTGGAAGAGACTGCCTGGGACAGCGATGGAGTCACCATCCCCAAAAGCTTTCAAAAACTGAATGGATGTGGAATTTTGTGGTATGGTTTAGTGGGGATGGAGGTTGGCGTTGATCACCTTGGAAGCTTTTTCCAAGCTTAATGAGTCCATGGAATGCTTGGTAGAAAGGGATGGGCACAACCAGCAAATTAATAAAGCAACTGTTTTGGATCCACCCCACCAGGATCCACCAACAAACACATTGCGGTCCCCCAGCTCTCAGGTCTGCTCCAAAAATTCCTCCTGGGATCATCCCCCACTTTTCCCTCCAGGAAGGCCCTGCCCTGAGCAGAACAATCCCGAGGTGGCACCAGGGAAGCGCTTTACCTTCAGCTCCTGCATGGTCAGCTCCTTGCCGTGCTCCTTCCCGCTCTCTATCAGGATGTCCAGGGCGTCAGCATAGTCCTTGCCCTGCGTGTTCTGCAGCTTCTCCTGGATGGCTTTTTCCAGCCCCTTCTGCAGCGTCTCCCGGGCCCGGATTCCCTGTGGAGGAGCAGGAAGCGCTCAGACCACGCCACAACCAGCAGCACCTTGCCCATCCCAGGAGCTGCAGACGTGCTCAGGACAGGTCCAAGCCATAAAAGCAGAGGCTCAAAGAAGGGTGTGAAGATGCTGGACGTGTCCCCTGGGCAGGAGGAGTAAAGCCGGAGTGGGGGAGATCACAGGAGGAATAATCAACACCTAGGTGTAAATGACAGGTCTGGGCTGGGAGCCCCTGTCCGGCACTGGTTCACAGCCCCCAGCTCCTCCTGGGATGTATGGAAATCCCTGGGAAAATCGTCTCTCAAAGGAAAGCGCATTCATCCCAAAGAATCCCCTTCCCCAGCAATTTGATCACCTGGTCCCAGTAAAGCAATTCCTATGGGAGTGCAGCTGCTCAGGGGTAACCTGCTGCTGGGAATGATTCCGGGCTCCGAGGGGATGGAATCGTTCCCATGGGGAAACAGCAATTAAAAAAAAAAAATGCAGGGATGCCAGAAAAATAAATATTGAACACCCGTATTTCTGTTATCAAAATTCCCCATGGAAAAATAAGTATGATTTTATGCGTGTTTTTTGTTATATTTTCATTTTGCGTCTTTCATCATAAAAACTGGAATACTCCAGGAATTAGAAAGGCCTGTTTTAGTTTTGGGAATTGCAAGGATGTATTTTAGCTCCTGGAATTACAAGGACCTGTTTCACTCCAAGGGAATTAGAAGGAGAAGGGTCCCACGAATTAAAAAACACAGGAAAATTGCCAAATGAGGAAAAACATGAATTAAATCTGGGCAAGTCCTGACTATTTCCTGTTATCAAGGAACAGATTTTCCCCTTGCCTTCTCCGCAAAAATCAGGAATCGTGTCCCAAAATGGACTCCTTGAGGTCAGAGGATGAGAAATCCCACCGCGAACGGGGAAAGGTGCGGATTAATCACCACCCATGAATTAATTGGCGCTATCAGCGTAGACACCCTGCCCCAAAGCTCACCCTCCTGTAGCCGCTGAAGGGCAGGTCCACGGGCAGGGAGAAGACGTTCTCCACGAACTGCTGGTAGACCTCGAAGAGGCGCCCGAGCTCCTCGTCGGGGATGCGGAAGCCCAGCAGGACGCGGATGGCCATGCGGAACGTCAGCTTCTGCGCCTCGTGGTACACGTTGATGGGCTCGGGCTCGCTGCTCCACGCCCGCAGCGTGTCCTTGATCACCAGCTGGATCTTGGGCAGGTAGCTCTCCAGAGCCTCATGGCTGAAAATCTTGGAGAAAACCTACGGGGAAACAGCGAGGAGAGGTTTGTCCACAGACCCAGCACACGTGGCCTTGTCCAAGGTGTCCTACAGGGAGGTGTGACCATTCCAAGCTCTTCATCCCATTCCTAAAATGCTGTCAGAAACACCAGCTCTTCCTAAAATTCCCACCACAATCATCACAAGTGACGGGGAATAACGGAGCAAACTGGGATGGGAGGGATTCCTCCATCCCACATGTGGCAGGAGGGACAGAGCCACATTTCCATGTCCCAAGGATCCCAGTTTTATTCATCCCATGGTTTGGGTGTCACTAATGCACCCTTTCCACAGGGATTCTCCAGCATCCAACACAGACAAACCCAAGGGGAAAACACAACTCTCCCAATGGGAAGCACTGACAATTCCTCCCACCTCTCCATCACCTTTTCCTTCATTTTTTTTTTTTCGTGGATGCAAAACGAAGCAAAATAATTATTTTGGAGCCTTTAGGATCTCCGTGGAGTCTGGCTGAACTCCGACGGGGGTTCAAGCGGGGAAGAGCCGCTGCACGTACGCAGAGGCCGCGATCGCCCTCGGCTCATTTCCTTGGGAAACCAGGGGAAAAAAAAATTCCTGATGTCAGCAGCCAGCGTTAATTTAAGCCCTGCGAGTAAACAGTGAGCAGGACTGGGCCTCCCCAGGTCCCCCACGCTAACGGCTCCTTACTCCAATTTTTTTTCTCCAATTTGGGCCCGGGCCCGCTCCGAGGAGCTCAGCAATGCCAGGAATGTCCCTTCCCGGCACAGCAGCGCTTTCATTCGGCATTCCCGCCGCATCCCTCGCCGAGCGAGGGGGGAAAAGTGCTGTTTGTTTATTTTTTATTAACCTACACACACGCACGGGGCAGGACGCACACGCACCGCAGGCCTCCAGGAAAATCCAATTAAACCAGGATTCCAAGGAGGGAGCTGCGCGCCGGAGCCTCCACCGGTGGCCGCTTCCCGGCGGGAATGGAGGCGAGGTGGGGGGGCTGCCAAAGTTATCAACCCACCGAGAGGAGCGAAATCAAAGCCGCCCCCTCTTTTCCATGAGCGCCGGGCTCGCCGGAGCTGTAAATGTGAGAATTTCCTCCGCAGTCAGCACTCCAAGGGAAAGGTAATATTTTCCTGGCTGCGACCCCTCATTGCTAATGCCCGGCGTTCCCCGGGAGTTTGTTTGGTGAAAAAACACCTCTGTCCCCTCGCAGCTCCGCGCAGGAGCCTCCACAAGAGCCGCTTCACTGTGCCCCAGGCTGAGCCCCCAGTGAAACCCGGCGCACGGCACGGAAATCCCGGGATGGGAGGATGGATGGACAGGGAAGGGAATCCTAGCCTGGGGACAGGGAGCCATCCCTGGATGGCCGCATGCATGGAGCTGAGGCATGAATGAATGAATGAGAGGAGGAATCAATGAATGAATGAATGAACAGCGGGGAGTGAGGGCGCGGGACGGGGCGGCGGCGGCCGCCTCCTGCCTGCATCCATCCCGAGCCTGGAAAGGCAGCAGCGTTCAGGCTTTTTCTGCTGGAAAAAGCTGCTGCTCGGGCAGGAAAAGCTGGAGGTGGTAAAGCCAAGACCCTCAGCTGCGTGGGGAAGGTGGGAAGTGGGGGAAGTGGGAAGGGAACGGGGAAGGGAATGGTTCCTTTGCACATGAGCAAGACACCGGGGTTTCATGCAGAGCCAGGATCCATGAGCTCTTCCACAGGGACAGGATGAGACAAGAGACCACCTGGCAAAGGGACACTGCTGTGTCACCATCCAGCTCTCACCTGCCCTTCATCCATGCTGAGGAGCTTGGAATAAGGACAGAGGATTGCAGTGAATGTCCCGAAACACTCCCCGTGCCTCAGTTTCCTCAGCTGGAAGCAGGGCCAATGAGGGGACATTGACTGAGGAGTCTGCATCCCTGCTGGGGGCCACCACCCAGTGGAGGTGACATTTGGGGGCTCCTGGCCTTGTCCTTCCCCGGCATCTCCCGCAGGAGAAGCACCTGGGGACCCCCTGCTCCCTGACAGAAGGACACGGTCCCTGAGGTGCCTCTGGTCCCAAAACAGCTGTCCAGGTGTGGGGGGCTGGATCCACACCCCCGGATCCTCCCAAGACAAAAGATCCTGTCCTAAGGATTGGCGTGAATAGAAGGGGGGATCCTTTGGAAGAGAAAACCGAACCCCTCCCTATGGGATCAGCACAAACCTGACAAGGGGGAGGTCAAGCGCCGGGGGGCGAGGGGGATTTTGCTCTTTCTCGGCAATTTTTGGGCGCTCTCCTCGCGCCAGGAGGCTCCTCCAGCTGGCTGCTCCCTGGAGCTCCCGAGCACGGCCCGAGCTCCGTCTAATCCCACATGTCAGCAGATCCTTCCCCGGCCAGACACAAGTCTGGATCCCCTTCCAGTCACCTCCAGTTCAACCCTGCATCTTTCCAGTTGATTAAAAAGGAGGAGAAGGCAGCCAACTTTCCCCGACGAAGCGTTCCTAGCCTAAAATTCCTGCGCCCTCTAGTGAAGTCGGGCCGAGCGGCTCGGCTGCTCCAGGAGCGAATCCAGGCGAAGCCGAGGAGAATCGGGGCAAGGAAAAGTTGTTCCAGAGCTGCCAAGAGGCAAAATCGTCTCTAAGCTCAGCTTTGTTAACCCTGAGATGCCACAGCCCGGCTCTGGTGGAGCCACAGGGGCTGGCAGCAGGGCCAGGAATTTTTGGGGACACTGGAAAGTTTCTCCTCACTGAGGAATGTCTCCAAAAGAGCCAAATCAGGGGATTTGCTCCATCCAAGGGCGCTCATTTCCACCCTACACCCACAATGATGGAGATCCCACCACCCAGTGAGCCCGGCTGGAACCTTCCCACTCTGCCTTGCATGGAAAAAAGATATTTAAGGATTTATGGCTTTCCAAGGGCAGAAAATGCCTTCCCAGTGCCCCAGCTCCATGTGACAGCAAAGTGCCACCAATCCCAGCTGGAGAACGCTCCAGCCCCATCCTTAAACCACAGCCAGGGAATCTGAAGGAATTCCGTGAGCTCCAGAAGTGATTCCGTGCCTGGTTGGGATATGGGGGACCCCATTTTCCATGGCTTTCTCCTTCCTACCCCAAGCACCAGCACCCATCCCTGCCTTTGGCCATCCACGATTTCCAGGCCCCTCGCTCCCACCTGGCTCCCAAAAGAGGGAATGGAGCTTTCCATTCCCCCCCTCCAGGAGGAAAACTGAAATTCTGGGATCAGCCACCTGCATCCCATCCAGCCTGGAGCCGCTGGCCCGACCAAAGGGAGGCGTGATGAGCCTGGAAATGATTTCAGGAACCAATTTGGCACCTGCCAGAGGTTTGGCCGACAGGAGACGTCGGGAAACATCCAAAGCAACATCTCAACCTGGATTCATCCTAACTCTTCCCACATTTCCAAAGGCCAGGCTGTTTGTCCCAGTCCGGTCCCATCACCACATTATCCTGGATGCCTGCCCCTCTCCAGAGCCCATTCCCGTGCTCCAGTGGGATTGGAAACCGGGATATTTTTGGAGGTGGTTCATGGGCAAGAGGCCATGCTGGTACTGGGAGCATGAACAAAGGGAAAACACAGCAAAAAAGTTGGAAAGGCACCACACAAGGAGAGAAAATTCAAAAAAACCCCATTCCTACCCGGACACACTGTTTATAAAAGGTCTGGGCTTTGCACACAGCAAAGAACGGATTCCTTTTCTCCCCCTCATCTTTTTGGAAATAGAGCACATGGAAGGCTCCATCCTGGAGGAATCCAGGCTCTCGTGAACGCTTCAGCCTCCAACGGGAGTCTGGGAACAGGAGCTGGAGCCTCCAGGCTGAAAGGAATGAGGTGCCTTTGCCAAAGGCTCTTGCACTGAAATTCAAATGATTCTCAAAAAAAAACTGCTGGAAAAAATGGAAGGATCATTTTGGATCCTTGGGTCATGTCATGATGTACCTTTGAGGGCTGCCGCAACTCCAGCATTTCCAGTCAAGTTCAGAATAAAATTAACCCCAAGATCTGCATTTCCCCACAACTCAAAAATCTCCATGTTCAAAAATCTCTCCTACAATTCCCCCACACAGCACGGGAGGATTTCAATCCCAAACCCTTCAAGGCCCTGCTTTCAATACCAAACCCTTTAAGGTCCTGCTTTCAATCCCAAATTTTCAAGGCTGCGAGTTCAAAGGGGTTGTGGGAGAGAGCCAGGACCAAGCTTCAGCAGCCCCTCTGCAAAACTGCCTCAGTCTCCCCAAAACTCCATCCCCAGCAGAATTCCATCAAGAAATTCCGGCTTCTCGGCTGAATTTCTGGGGGTACCAAAAAGCACTGGGATTGATCAGCTTGGAATGCTGCTCCCAGTGTCCTCTCCCTTTTATTTATGGAGAAAAATGAGAATAAAATTCACCTTGCACTCCTCAAGGAGGGAGAACAATCCCACATCCGTGGATGTCACGGGAAAGAAATGGGAGCTGTGTCCAGAGAAGAGGGATCAGAAAAGTGGGATCAGCCAGCTGGGATCCAGTTGGGATCCCTGTGGATGGAGCCGTGGGGAAGGAGAATCCCACAAACCCAGCGGGCACAGTCAGAGCTCTCCTTCCTCAGCGAATCCTCAGGGAATCATGGAATGATTTGGATTGGAAAAGACCTTGAAGACCTAATTCCAACCCCTGGGATGGGTTATCCCAATGGGTGATGGATCACTGCCCGTGGTGTGGACATGAAGGATTCCCTGGAGACAAGGAGGAGAACAGCTTTCCCAGGGAACCAGTGGAAGTGAAACATCAGGAGGAAAATCCCAGTTTTTACTGATCTGATGGGTTTTCCTGGAGCACGGAGAGAGGACAGAAGGGAAGGATCCCTATGGATTTAAATAACCCAGAGAGAAAGCCAGACTTAAAAATAAACCAGTCCTTGGTCTTGCCAAGAATTCCAGAAAATGGGAACAGAGCAGAGCAAGAGGTGGCCACACTTGGGAGGGGATGAGTGACAAATTCCCAATCCATGGTGCAGCCACTTCATCCCAAAGGAATAAAAACCCCTTCTAGAGCATGCATGGTCCTGTGGCAGGAATAAGGGAAAAAAGCTTGGAAAAGGGATTCCTCCAAGGAAAACGTGAGGATTGCAAGGCCTCTGTGGGATGAGCGAACGCCTGAGGAGCTCCTGCAGGCCAGGTGAGAGTTAAAGCTCCTCCAGGGAGGAGGGGACGGGGGCTGAGGTGACCCCACAAGGTGATCCCAACCCTACAAGGAGAAGGAAGCTGGAGAACCAGCAGGGGAGAGAGATTTCATGGGGAAAATTCCATCTGGGAAGGGATGGAGAACTCTGTTACCTCCAGAGGGATGAGCGGAATGTCACAAACCACAGCTGAGGAGGTTACTTGAGCTGCCTGGGAGGATGGATGGGAAAAACAAAGGGACCATGGTGCAGGATGGATCCTGACTCCCTGACATCCCTGGGATTCGCTCCCCATCCCTCTGGAAGTGGAGCCTGGATTGCAGTTCCACCCAGCTGCTGCCCAAGGAGAAGCCTCACCTTCTCCATCCCTCCCAAGACACCCAAAAATTCCCACCCTGGAAGTGGGAAAATCCAAATTTGGGGATCCCAGGGTATCCCACAGCCACAATCCTGCTCCACCAGCACAGCGAGCCTGGAGCTCATGGGATTTTTGGGACGGAAGGCACCATGAAATCCCCCCAAATTTGCGTTTTAGCCAGGAGCTCCTCCTTTTTTTTTTTTTTAATCCTTTAAATTAAAACTGGTAATTTTTTAAATCCCTTGGATTAAAACTGATTAAAGTAATTAAAATGACTCTGGATTTACAGCACTGCCTGGTCTAAAGTCAAGGAGCCAACCCAGCCCAGGAATTCTTCCCCCGGAACGGGAGCAGGAGCCATCCTCCATCCATGGAAGGTTTTCCCTGCTCCAGAGGCTTTTGCCCATGGATTGAGGCTCCCAGGGCATGGAGAAGGGGCTGGAGCTGATCGCAGTTGGAATTCAGCCTGTTTGATATAATTTTGGGAGCTGGCTCTGATGGACTGGGATGGTTTCTTTTCCACCATGGAATAGGCTAGGAGGGTTGGATAGACATTGGAAAAAAATCCTAAAAACCCTAAAAAAATCCCCTGCTAACAACCTCGATCCAGGTTGGAAAAAAAATCCTAAAAACCCTAAAAGAAAAAAACCCTGTTAACAACCTCAGTCCAGCTTTTTTTTGTAGGAAAAGATCCATTCCTCCACCTCCCATGGCTCCTTCCTCCTGCAGCCCTCTCCCCCATCCTGATCCCGATCCCGATCCCTCCCTCCCCCCCAGCAGCTGGTTTATATTTGCCCGTAAATTTATGGCCCCTTTTGTGCTCTTAATCCCCTCGCAAACGATATGAAAGCCTCGGACCTTTCCACTCGGTGCTAATGAGCTCAACACTTGCGTGCCTCGGAGGCAGAGCATTAATTGCGGTGTGTTAATGAGCGATGGAGCTTTGGACACTGAGACAAACCAGGGCCTCCCCTCCGCTCCGCTCCCTCCTGGAATCATTGGATGTCTCCCCAGCAATCCCAAGGATTGCTTTTATTTTATTCCATCTTTGCCTTTTTAAATTTAATTTATTTTTTTTTCTGCGCTGGCTGTGCCTATTTTGGGACGGCTCTGCTGGAACATGAGTCCGGCGCTCTCCTGCCAAGCGGGATGATCCCGAGACAAGTCTGATCCCACCTTTCCCTGCACATCCTGGGAATCTCCTTCCTGGCCCTGGGCGCTGCTCAGACTTGACCAAAACCCTAAAGGCCACGTCCTGGCCATTCCCAATTCCCAT